CCCAGCCGCTCCGCGGCTGGGCCCGTGAGCCATGGCCCCTGAGCCTGCATGTCCGGAGCCTGTGCTCCACAACGGGAGAGACCACAACAGTGAGAGGCCCACGTACCGCAAAAAAAAAAAAAAAAAAGATTGGCTTGACATTCAAAACCAATAAATGCAACTCACTATATTGACAAACTAAAAAAGAAACATCACATAAGATATCACAGAATATTTAAGATTCAAATATCCACTCTCAGAAGGGAAGGCCCCATGAATTTCCTTCCACATTCTAACTCGTGGAAAAGACCTAGCAAGATTAAGAAGATCCACATATTATAGTGTATGTACTAAAAGATATTTTATTCCATGTGGTTATGACCTTAAAAAATCAAACTGGATTCATTTTTTGTTTCTGAAAGGAACTCTAATAACTCAAGGTAAGAGTATCTTCCTGCCTAACAGTTGTCACACTACAAACTCATGCTGACAGAATATGATTACACTACTTTTGTACCCAAATGTAAGGTTCGGGGGGGGGGGGGGGGGGGGGAATGAGCATGAGCTCTACTATGCTATCTCCTTTGAGATTCATATCTTATCTTTGAAGGAAATACTTAACAAAGAAACTGTTCTCATTCGAAGCTTTAGTAAAGGTTACGGTATAATAATTGTTAAGTTCCACAAATTGTGCAGTTGTCTTGTTATTTTATCAAGTGCATTTACATAGTGCCAGACACATATGCAAAATACAATTTAAAACTGAGACCATTAAATTATATCCATTATTTCTCACTCTAGAAACTTTTGAAACTTATGGGTGACAGATTTGTCAAGAAGTTCTCTTTACCAACTAAAGAAAGAACAACCCAACCTCTGCTATGAACTGTCATTAGTAATTTAGCAGAGCTAGAAGGCAGTTCAGCCGAGTAGACAGAAAATTAAAACATGGGCAGCTCCTGATTGGAAATGTATTCATAACAGGTAATGAAATAGCACAGTCAGGATCTCTGGTATTACTCAGAGTGAGAGATTTAATTCTGATAACTCTGATGATGACACTCGAATCAGAGATTATTAATGGTGACAGGTTGTGACATACAGATAGAATGACATAAGCATCAGCAACATATCTCTACAGAAGCTGATTCTATATAAGATCAACATTTTCTTAATTTCAAAAATTATTACAAGTTTTCAAAAAAGAGGTTTATTAGGGCCTTAGGCAAACCCTGTACCATTTTTATATCTACTTTTCAATGGAGTATAATATTAATCAACATATCAAAGGCAAGGGGTGAAGTATAAATTGTTGTTTATATCTTAAAACATGAAGTATAAATTGTTGTTTCTGATTTCATCTGGATAAGGAACAAGCCCAAAATTATAGACGAATAGCTATCCTATGTATAGAGTAATAGTAAAGGTTTGGGTTTTCCTGTGTTTATATGCATGAAAAGAATACTCATTAAGTGCAGCCACATAAAAATAATGTTATTTGTAAAGAATAATAATTTTTATTTTGGATTTTCTATGCCTTTTTATATTTTCTAATTAACAAAAATGGCATTATTAGTTTTATAATGATTAGTATATTTTTTGAAAATTGCCTATTTCAGACAAACTCTCTACCACAGAAATACAGCTGAGAAAAATAACAATATTTCCACATAGGTATTTCAATACATCTCTTTTGAATTTGTGAATTGGCATATTTACTGTGTATGGTTAAAACTTGTTAGATGTGGGGATTTTAAAACTTAGCCCTAAAATTCTTTAATACTCCTGTCACTGAAATAAAAGGGTCTATGCCCCTTGAATCTGTAACTGGACAATAGCTTATAGCAGAAATGATGCCATGTCAGTTTCCAGACCCAGACCATAACATGGAAGAGAAGAAATGTCACACTGACCTATGCCCCAGTTGCAGATCTGGAAGTAAAATAAACAACTGCTGTTGTCCGAAGTCACTAAATTTTGAGCTGGTTTGTTAAGCAGCAATAAATAACCAAAACAGCATCGGACTTTCATCATGAATGCCGATTATAAAAATGGTTTTCGCATTACACCAAAACAATGTTATATTACATATGCTATAACTAGTCAGAATAGGAGGAAAATGTAAAAAAAAAGAAAAATGCAGTACACTTTCATCAGGCTAACATAAATTTTATCAATAAAGTTTTTAATAAATTACAACACAGTATTGAGAAAATAATTCAAAGAATTTTAGAATCTTTAGTATGTTATAAGTTGAAAAACCTAAATATTACAGAATTATTTGCTTAAATTTGGTGATTTAACTTTTTAAATTTGGTTTTGTAGGATTTATCTATATTGTTTAATGATGTTGTAACTAAAAGCATAAACCTATATAGAAAATACTAATTCTATAAAAATTAGAGAATTTAAATATTGTCAAATAGAACCACATATTGAATAATAGAAATACATTTTAAATGGAACTATATTTACAGAGGTCTAAGCCTACATGACATAATGCAGCCCCGAAAAGTCATGATAAAAAAAATAACAAGCTAAAATCATACTACATGTTATTTACCAAAAGTAAGCACCTTAGAAAGATTAATAGTTAATTCAATAAAAAAGAAGTACTGGGCTGGCCAAAAAGTTCGTTCGGGTTTTTTGGTAACATCTTATGGAAAAGCCCAAACAAACTTTTTGGCCAACGCAATATTAAATATGCCTTAATTTCAGTAATATAAACAATAGAATTGTTTTAAGACAATTATGTATAAGTCCCTTTCCTTAGAAAACTGGATAACTTTAAATGGACTTTGAGAGCTCAGGATACAGAAAAATACCCTATAATAAATATTTTAATAAAATAAAGAATCATTTTATAACATAAAAATCCACCTACTTCATGTATTTCTTTTCAAGACACAGCTCCACAGCAGAATAGTTTCAAAACATAAAAATTTAACAATTTCGTGTATTTCTTTCATAAGACACAGTTCTACAGGATAGGGTCAACATTATTCATCCAAATATGAACCAGAAAGTTCAATTAATTCTATTTCTTGTCCACAAGCTACTTTGACAAGATTTACTCAATAATGAAATTGTTAAGAATCATATCATAGAATTAGCACAGGTTCAGTCCCTTTTACTCATTATAAATCTACAGTATAAAAAGCAATATTCAAAAGGTGACACAAATACAAAATACCTTTACAGAGGGAATTGTATTAATCCCAAAACTCTGCCTCCTCTTATAATGAAAACCTGAGAACCAGAATGATTAATCGATTTGTACCAGAGTGAAACTAGGCCTGGAACCCTGCCACCTGCTTCTAACTCTTGTGTCTTTTCTCATATATTATGCTGCTTCATCTAGCACGAGTGATTCCTATACAGCTATGAAATATAAAATAATGCATGATAATAAGAAAAGAGTGAAGCAAAACAACTTCCTCCATATAAAAGACATCTAAAAAAAAAGTCATCTAATTTATGCTGAAACATTAGAATTTTTCATTTTATCAAAGTCCTTGCTGAAGCATTTTTCTACACTGTCTGTTTTCCAGATATGTGCATATTTATTTATGGTACAACATCCAACAGAAAATTCATTAAACTCTTTCAGAAATATTATAAAAATTAGTTATACATTACTTGATACTCTGCTACTTTTAATATGCCTGAAATCATATTTTCATTATATTATCACTTATGATAAAAAATGGATACAAGCTGATAGTATTTTTTATTTTACAACATTTTTGCCATATTTTGGAATTTAGATTTAATCACCTAAAACACCCTTCTAATTAGATGGCAAGTCAGAGATGTATTTAATCTTAAGGAATTGTTTTAGCACTAAGCCTTACTTTATTATCTGTGAGATGGTCATAACAATAGTACTTACCACATGTAAGTAGAATTGTTGTGCAGAATAAATAAAATATGTAGCTAATATATCTAAATCCTTGGCACCATACCTGACATATTACATACTAATAAATGTTAGTTGTTATTATAGTTTAGCTGCAACCAAAAACATGGTAATATTAAGATAGCAAAACATAAAGTATGATTTTTAAAAAATGGCCTACTTAAAACAATGTGTATTCTTCTATTAAAAGGTGATTTGCTATGTTTAATTCAAACTGATAAAGTACTTTTTAGATATCAAAAAATTATTCACATTAACCTTTTAAGGGGCAATATAACCAATATATGTTAAATAGCATATGATTTGTAAAACCGAAATTTAGTGCAACTTACCATTAATACATGTGCTAATCAAAACAAGGTAAATTCTATTAGTATGTTAAACATTTCTCATAAAATATTTTTAAAAATTAAGAAATTAAATACCAGTGAGAGAGTATATATACAATGAATTTAGTAAAATTCCTTGAATTATTATTATTTTTTTGCGGTACGCGGGCCTCTCACTGTTGTGGCCTCTCCCGTTGTGGAGCACAGGCTCCGGATGCGCAGGCTCAGCAGCCATGGCTCACGGGCCTAGCCACTCCGCGGCATGTGGGATCCTCCCGGACCGGGGCACGAACCCGTGTCCCCTGCATCGGCAGGCGGACTCTGAACCACTGTGCCACCAGGGAAGCCCCCTTGAATTATTTTTTAAACAAATAAGACATTTCCATATTCTATGTACGTACCTGGAGTAGGCAAACAATCGACTATCCCAAAGATTATGATTCCCTCTAGGTCCGTAATGAAAGTAACAGGACTCTGTCCCATCAAACATATTCAATCCATCTTCTGAATTTTTTGAGGCATGGCTATGTACCACATCTAAGAGGACTGTAATACCCATTGAGTGAGCTGTGTCAACCAGTTCTTTCAGCTCTTCAGGCGTTCCAAAACGGCTTAAGGTAAAGGAGACAGCAAAAACAAGATCACATCATATTTAAACCAAACAGCCAATCATTTACTGAGAATCAATTGTTTTACCAGCACAGTACTAGATACTTCAAATGTACAAATGTCGTATGATATAATACTTAGATATAAATCAAAGTTGCTTAATAGTTGTTATTAGGCATTTTTAAAAGCATTCAATAAAAAAATAAATCTGGCTGTTAATTGTAGATTTATAGCACAATGAAAATTCACATTTTGAGTAGGTAGATAGTAAAATTCCACTTCTCTATACTCAGAGCTTCTGATTTCCATCGCCAAGCCTAGCTAGTTTGAGGGGTATGGTCATTCCTGTCCACATACCTGGCCATCCCTTTAAGCATGCATGGTTGGGATTGTGAGGGCTCTTAGAATACTTCTTTGAATATCCTTGGTGCCTTAATTGAGGCCATTTCTCCTGTACTTACTTATTCTCAGATTGGAATGCCTCAAGTACCAGTGGGTCCTGTCACCACCCAAGCCGGAAAGATGGGCAGCTCATATGCACGTGGGTTTGTGTTAAAAACAGTTTTCTAGTCAGCGTGAAATAGGAAACAAAAATCACTCCCAAGAGGAAGGCCTTTCTTAACGTGTATAAAAATCTCAATACTGCAGTCTTCCATAGCATCAACTTTTGCTTTTAAATAAAAAATCACCCTTGTGATGAATTGTTTACTGTCTCTCTTCCTCACTAGACTATATGTCCCTTGAGGGCAGGGGCTCTGACCATCTAGTTTCCCACGCTACAGTACAGTGCTTAGTATGCAGTGGGGCTCCTGATAGCAGATTCCATGGAGGAGCGAGCAAATACTCTAGTGTGGCTGGAGTGGAATAATCACGAAAGAGATGAGCTCAGAGAGTTGGCCAAGAACCAGATCACATGCGGCCTCATGGATCAATGTAAGGCATTTGGCTTTTATTCCGAAAGGGACAGGGAATCATCAGAGTTCTGAGCAAGAGAGTGACATGATCTGACTTTCATTTTAAAAAGATGACTTTACATGCTGTGCAGAAAGTGGTCCATATGTGGGGGGGGGGAGAAAGCTAGGGAAGGAGGACAAGAGAATAGAGTGACCAGTTACAGACCTAATGAAATAATGCAGATGAGAAACAGCAACTTGGACCATGGTGGTAGCAGCTGAAGCAGCCAGATTGGGGATATATTTTGAAGTTACCAGTGGCTAGGTTTTCTGATAGCTAGAGTATAGGGGGGCGAACATAAAGGGAAAAGTCAAGTATAAGGCAGATGGCTTAAACAATTGGAAGATGGAGATGTCATTTATTATGTTAGTGAAGATAGCAAGAGAAGAAGGTTAGAAGATAAGATCAGATATTTAATCTGGAACAGGTTAAGAATGAGATATGTATTATATACCCCAACCTCAAATAGGCACTGTTTGGAGTTCACAACAGAGGTGAGGACTGGAGAACTAAATTTGGCAGTTGGCATATAAAGTGTATTTGAGGAGACTGGTTCAAGATGGTGGAGTACAAGGATGTGCTCTCACTCCCTCTTGCAAGAGCACCAGAATCACAACTAACTGCTGAACAATCATTGACAGGAAGATACTGGAACACACCAAAAAAGATACGCCACATTCAAAGACAAAGGAGAAGCCACAATGAGATGGTAGGAGGGGCGCAATCCAAATAAAATCAAATCCTATAACTGCTGGGTAGGTGACTCACAAACTGGATGACACATATACCACAGAAGTCCACCCACTGGGGTAAAGGTTCTGAGCCCCACGTCAGGCTTCCCAACCTGGGGGTGCAGCAATGGAAGGAGGAATTCCTAGAGGATCAAACTTTGAAGGCTAGCAGGATTGGACTGCAGGACTTCAACAGGAATGGGGAAAACAGAGACTCCACTCCTGGAGGGCACACACAAAGTAGTGTGCACGTTGGGACCCAGGGGAAGGAACAGTGACCCCACAGGACACTAAACCAGACCTACCTGCTAGTGTTGGAGGGTCTCCTGCAGAGGCAGAGGGTGGCTGTGGCTCACCATGAGGACAAGGACACAGGCAACAGAAATTCTGGGAAGTACTCCTTGGTGTGAGCCCTCCCAGAGTCCACCATTAGCCCCACCAAAGAGCCCGGGTAGGCTCCAGTGTTGGGTCGCCTCAGGCCAAACAACGAACAGGGAGGGAAACCAGCTCCACCCATCAGCAGACAAGCCAATTAAAGTTTTACTGAGCTCTGACCACCAGAACAACAGCCAGCTCTACCCACCACCAGTCCTTCCCATCAGGAAACATGCACAAGCCTGTTAGATAAGCTAATCCAACAGAGGACAGAGAGCAGAAGAAAGAAGAACTACAGTCCCGCAGCCTGTGGAACAAAAACCACATTCACAGAAAGAGAGACAAGATGAAAAGGCAGAGGGCTATGTACCAGATGAAGGAACAAGATAAAACCCCAGAAAAGCAACTAACTGCAGTGGAGATAGGTAACCTTCTAGAAAAACAATTCAAAATAATGAGAGCGAAGATTATCCAGGACCTTGGAAAAAGAACGGAGGCAAAGATTGAGAAGATGCAAGAAATGTTTAACAAAGACCTAGAAGAATTAAAGAACAAACCAACAGGGATGAACAATAGAATAACTGAAATGAAAAAATACACTGGAAGGAATCAGTAGCAGAATAACTGAGGCAGAAGAAAAGATAAGTGACCTGGAAGACAGAAAGGTGGAATTCACTGCTGCAGAACAAAATAAAGAAAAAAGAATGAAAAGAAATGAAGACAGCTTAAGAGATCTCTGGGACAAAATTAAACACAACAATATATGCATTATAGGGGTCCCAGAAGGAGACGAGGGAGAGAAGGGACCTGAGAAAATATTTGAAGAGATTATAGTTGAAAACTTCCCTAACATGGGAAAGGAAATAGCCACTCAACTCCAGGAAGCACAGAGTCCCATACAGGATAAACCAAGGAGAAACACGCTGAGAAACATAGTAGTCAAATTGACAAAAATTAAAAACAAAGAAAAATTATTGAAAGCAGCAAGGGAAAAAAGACAAATAACACACAAGGGAACTCCCATAAAGTTACTAACAGCTGATTTCTCAGCAGAAACTCTACAAGTCAGAAGGGAGTGGCATGACATATTGAAAGTGATGGAAGGGAAGAACCTACAACCAAGATTACTCTACCCAGCAAGAATCTCATTCAGATTCAATGGAGAAATCAAAACCTTTACAGAGAAGCAAAAGCTAAGAGAATTCAGCACCACCAAACCAGCTCTACAGCAAATGCAAAAGGAACTTCTCTAAGTCGTAAACCCACGAGAAGAAAAGGACCTACAAAAACAAACCCAAAACAATTAAGAAAATGGTCATAGGAACATACATATCAATGATTACCTTAAATGTGAATGGATTAAATGCTCCAACCAAAGGCCACAGGCTCGCTGAATGGATCCAAAAACAAGACCCATATATATGCTGTCTACAAGAGACCCACTTCAAACCTAGGGATACATACAGGCTGAAAGTGAGGGGATGGAAAAACATATTCCATGCAAATGGAAATCAAAAGAAAGCTAGAGTAGCAATACTCATATCAAATAAAATAGATTTTAAAATAAAGAAGGCTACAAGAGACAAGGAAGGACACTACATAATGATCAAGGGATCAATCCAAGAAGATATAATAATTATAAATATACATGCACCCAAAATAGGAGCACCTCAATACATAAGGCAACTGCTAACAGCTATAAAAGAGGAAATCGACAGTAACACAATAATAGTGGGGGACTTTAACACCTCTCTTACACCAATGAACAGATCATCCAGACAGAAAATTAATAAGGAAACACAAGCTTTAAATGATACAATAGACCAGATAGATTTAATTGATATTTCTAGGACATTCCATCCAAAAACAGCAGATTACACTTTCTATTCAAGTGCACACGGAACATTCTCCAGGACAGATCACATCTTGGGTCACAAATCAAGCCTCAGTAAATTTAAGAAAATTGAAATCATATCAAGCATTTTTTCTGACCACAACGCTATGAGATTAGAAATAAATTACAGAGAAAAAAACGTAAAAAACACAAACACATGGAGACTAAACAATAGGTTACTAAATAACCAAGAGATCACTGAAGAAATCAAAGAGGAAATAAAATACCTAGAAACAAATGACAACAAAACATGATGACCCAAAACCTATGGGATGCAGCAATAGCAGTTCTAAGATGGCAGTTTACAACAATACAAGCCTACCTCAAGAAACAAGAAAAATCTCAAATAAACAATCTAACCTTACACCTAAAGTAACTAGACAAAGAAGAACAAACAAAACCCAAAGTTAGCAGAAGGAAAGAAATCATAAAGATCAGGGCAGAAATAAATGAAATAGAAACAATGAAAACAATAGCAAATATCAATAAACTAAAAGCTGGCTCTTTGAGAAGATAGAAAAAAAAAAGATAAACCATTTGCCAGACTCATCAAGAAAAAGAGGGAGAGGACTCAAATCATTAAAATTTGAAATGAAAAAGGAGGAGTTACAACAGACACCGCAGAAATACAAAAGAATCATAAGAGACTACTACAAGCAACTCTATGCCAATAAAATGGACAACCTGGAAGAAATGGACAAATTCTTAGAAAAGTATAACGTTCCCAGACTGAACCAGGAAGAAATAGAAAATATGAAGAGACCAATCACAAGTAATGAAATTGAAACTGTGATTAAAAATCTTCAAACAAACAAAGTCCAGGACCAGATGGCTTCACAGGTGAATTCTACCAAACGTAGAGAAGAGCTAACACCTATCCTTCTCAAACTCTTCCAAAAAATAGCAGAGGAAGGAACACTCCCAAACTCATTCTATGAGTCACTATCACCCTGATACCAAAACCAGACAAAGATACCACAAAAATAGAAAATTACAGAACAATATCACTGATGAATATAGATGCAAAAATCCTCAAGAAAATACTAGCAAACTGAATCCAACAATACATTAAAAGGATCATACACCATGATCAAGTGGGATTTATCCCAGGGATGCAAGGATTCTTCAATATACACAATCAATCAATGTGATACACCATATTAACAAATTAAAGAATAAAAACCATATGATCATCTCAATAGATGCAGGAAAAGCTCTTGACAAAATTCAACACCCATTTATGATAAAAACTCTCCAGAAAGTGGGCACAGAGTGAACCTCAACATAATAAAGGCCATATATGACAAACCCACAGCAAACATCATTCTCAATGGTGAACAACTGAAAGCATTTCTTCTAAGATCAGGAGCAAACAAGGATGTCCACTCTCACCACTATTATTCAACATAGTTTTGGAAGTCCTAGCCATGGCAATCAGAGAAGACAAAGAAATAAAAGGAATACAAATTGGAAAAGAAGAAGTAAAACTGTCACTGTTTGCCCATGACATGATACTATACATGAAGAATCCTAAAGATACCACCAGGAAACTACTAGAGCTAATCAATGAATTTGGTAAAGCTGCAGGATACAAAATTAATGCACAGAAATCTCTTCCATTCCTATACACTAATGATGAAAAATCTGAAAGAGAAATTAAGGAAACATTCCCATTTGCCATTGCAAGAAAAAGAGTAAAACACCTAGGAATAAACCTACCTAGGGAGGCAAAAGATCTGTATGCAGAAAAGTATAAAACACTGATGAAAGAAATTAAAGATGATACAAACAGATGGAGAGATATACCATGTTCTTGGATTTGAAGAATCAATATTGTGAAAATCACTATACTACCCAAAGCAATCTACAGATTCAATGCAATCCCTATCAAATTACCACTGGCATTTTTTACAGAACTAGAACAAAAAATCTTAAAATTTGTATGGAGACACAAAAGACCCCAAATAGCCAAAGCAGTCTTGGAGGAATCAGACTCCCTGGCTTCAGACTATACTACAAATTTACAGTAATCAAGACAATATGGTACTGGCACAAAAAAAGAAATATAGATCAATGGAATGTGATAGAAAGCCCAGAGGTGAACCCAGGCAACTATGGTCAACTAATCTATGACAAAGGAGGCAAGGATATACAATGGAGAAAAGACAGTCCCTTCAATAAGTCATGCTGGGAAACTGGATAGCTACATGTAAAAGAATGAAATTAGAACACTCCCTAACACCATACATAAAAATAAACTCAAAATGGATTAGAGGGCTTCCCTGGTGGCGCAGTGGTTGAGAGTCTGCCTGCCGATGTAGGGGACATGGGTTCGTGTCCTGGTCCGGGAGGATCCCGCGTGCCATGGAGCGGCTGGGCCCGTGAGCCATGGCTGCTGGGCCTGCACATCCGGAGCCTGTGCTCCGCAACGGGAGAGGCCAAAACAGTGAGAGGCCTGCGTACCACAAAAAAAAAAAAATAAATAAAATAAAATAAAAAATGGATTAGAGACCTAAATGTAAAACCAGACACTATAAAACTCTTAGAGGAAAACATAGGAAGAACACTCTTTGACATAAATCACAGCAAGATCTTTTTTGATCCACCTCCTAGAGTAATGGAAATAAAAACAAAAATAAACAAATGGGGCATAATGAAAGTTAAAAGCTTTTGCACAGCAAAGGAAACTATAAACAAGATGAAAAGACAACCCTCAGAATGGGAGAAAATATTTGCAAATTAATCAACGGACAAATATTTAATCTCCAAAATATATAAACAGCTCATGCAGCTAAGTATTAAAAAAACAAACAACCCAATCCAAAAATGGGCAGAAGACCTAAATAGACATTTCTTCAAAGAAGACATACCGATGGCCAAGAAGCACATGAAAAGCTGCTCAACATCACTGATTATTGAGAAATGCAAATCAAAACTACAATGAGGTATCACCTCACACCAGTTAGAATGGGCATCATAAGAAAATCTACAAACAACAAATGCTGGAGAGGGTGTGGAGAAAAGGGAACCCTCTTGCACTGTTGGTGGGAATGTAACTTGATACAACCACTATGGAGAACAGTATGGAGGTTCCTTAAAAAACGAAAAATAGAATTACCATATGACCCAGCAATCCCACTACTGGGCATATATCCAGAGAAAACCATAATTCAAAAAGACACATGCATCCCAATGTTCACTGCAGCACTCTTTACAATAGCCAGGTCATGGAAGCAACCTAAATGCCCATCGACAGACGAATGGATAAAGAAGATGTGGTACATATATACAATGGAATATTACTCAGCCATAAAAAGGAACGAAATTGGGTCATTTGTAGAGACGTGGATGCATCTAGAGACTGTCATACATAGTGAAGTAAGTCAGAAAGAGAAAAACAAATATAGTATATTAACGCACACATGTGGAACTTAAAAAATGGTACAGATGAACTGGTTTGCAGGGCAGATATTGAGACACAGATGTAGAGAACAAACGTATGGACACCAAGGGGGGAAAGCAGCCAGTGGGGTGGTGTGATTAATTGGGCAATTGGGATTGACATATATACACTAATATGTATAAAATGGATAACTAGTAAGAACCTGATGTATAAAAAAATAAATAAAATAAAATTCAAAATAAAATAAAGTGTATTTGAGTCATCAGAATGGATGAGACCTTAATTCTTCATATAGATACAGGAAGGAATGAAGCCAAGGGCTGAACACTGGAATGGCCCATCTTTATTGGTGAGAAAGAGCAAACGAAGTAAAGAAGAAGCAACAAAACATGTGAGAAAAACAACAGGAAAGTTTAATATTCTGAAAGCCAAGAGAAGAAAAAAGTTGCAAGAAGGTAGGAGTAATCAATTGTGCCAAATGCTGCTGACAAGTAAGCTAAGAACTGATGATTGACTTTACAATGCAGAGGGCAACAGTATCCTAGACAGGAGCAGTTTCAGCAAAGTGGTGGAGCGTGTACTTGGAATGAGTTCAAGAAAGAAGAGGAGTGGAGGAATTAGAGACAGCAAGGACAGATAACTCGTTCAAAGAGAAGTCCTATGAAGACAAACAGGTGAAGGGACCAGTATCTTTTCTGTATGTCTGGAATGCTATCTACCTACTCCCACTTCACTCCTCCCCCCAGGTAACTCTTTTTTTTAGATTTGAAAACTGTTTATCTCTTAATCATGTTTTAGATCTCAGTTGTAACATCAGTTCAGATCTAATCTAAACTGATTAGACCCCTGATTCTATGTTATTGGAGAAATCTGCCATCTTCTTCTTAGCTTTTATTACATGTGGAAATCATAATATGTATGATTATTGGATTTATGTCTGTATGCCACCACCCTGTGCTCCATGTGGCAGAGACAATGTTGGACTTGTTCAACTTATGGTTATTCGGGTCAGTACCTCTCTGCATAGGACCCCTTGATGTCTTTCTGCCCAGAGAGCAATATTCCTTGGATTTCACCCTGGGAAGAAGGACAGTCCTTCTGTGGGTAGTATATATCCCACCAAGGGCCTCCTCAGTTACCTTCCTACATAAGTCAATCTCTTTCCAGAAAAGGATATGAGCTCTAGCAATAATGGCTTCCATAAGTCAGGATTTTCTGACTGAAGCTTAGGCCTCCGAACATATCACAATTTCAGCAGGCTAACTGGATATTCTGTACCAGAAATCATTTTGTGAAAAGCAATGTTAAATCAGGCCAGACTTTAAGGCTTGATGAGATGAGAGTCTATGATCTTAATAAAAGAAAATGCTCAGCTTCTATTAGCTCTGTTAACCCTAAAATAGGTTATAAGACATCACACAAAATATAGAAATTCATTTCATTTTTTAAATGTTTTGTTCAAACAAGAATGGATATAATTTCTTTCATTTTACCTTGAAGCTGCAAAGAAGCTTGTGATTTGGTAACCAAAACTGGCATAGTAAGCATGTTCCATGATCGCCATCATCTGAATGCAATTGTATCCTGTATAAGCAAAGGTCAAATAGAGATTAAGAGCCACATTTTTAAAAAGTAATGAAAACAATATATAAACACAGCACCCTGTTCAAAAGGCATTACATTTTACATATAATCTAGAAGATTTGGTCATTTTGAAAAGTTCTACTACTTTAACATCTTTGCTTGTCTGACCTTCTAACATAAAATCAGACAGTTAGTTCTTGAGGGTTATAGTATAGCTATTTGAAATGTCTTCATTTTAATAAGTAATAAGTGATATGCAAATATACTTAATTTGGCTTTAGAATATTAAAGATGGCAATCTGCATATGCTAAACTTCAGTTGCACTTGTAATATTCATATCGAAGATTGTGAAAGCCAAATAAAAGTAACTGATTGCAGGCCATGTACTTTTTATTTCACCTTTTTCTTTATATTTCTCTTTTTTCTAACATAAGATATACCATACCACTGAATCCATTTTTCTACAAGGTAGCTTTTATAAAGCCAGCATTAATGCTTCCATTTTCCACTGTTTCTAGGACCTATAAAATTACTCCACAGTCATTCATGGGCTCACATGTGTGCGCACGTGCACACACACACACACACACACGTATACACACACACACGTACACCCACATACATCCTTCCTTTCTCTATCTGAAAATGTTTTGCTTTAACACTAAATAAATTGACTCAAATGAACTGACTCAAAAAGATAGGTATGTATTTTTAAAAATCCTTAACACAAATATATTTATTAATGTGTTTTTAATGTAAGCAAATAATCAGAGTAGAAGAAACTTTGGTCTTTTAAAAAACTAAAAAAATCATTTTCTTCAAAGTAAAATATGGTAAAATTTTCAAATATGATTTAATTGCCTTCTGCAACATGCAAAGAAAATATTCCTATTCTGTTCTCAAAGTCTAATTCATGTCAATATAACTTCTTGTGCACATATTTTAGTACATAATTAATATTGGAACAATTACGATTCACGTTCAGAATTGAGGATTCATAAGTTTAAAGGATAACATAAACTCCATGATTCAGAATCTGTTGAAAAGTTATTACTGTTGGCTTTATTGTTAAAAAAAGAAACAAATTAACTCTATCAGGCCTGGTAGAAATATGTATATAAACTACTGCTCAATAATATAAACCAAGTATAATACTTAGTCACAAAATACAGAGTTTGTAGTTTATTTCTCTATTATGTAATCAATATTATTCTTCTGACCAAGTAACAATTTATAGCTTTTATCATACATTTTATGTCATTAACCATTCCTAAACTTACTTATGGCCAGAGTACTGGGCTAGGTAATTCAAACACAAAGATGAATAAGAAAATCCTTGTTCTGCTGAAATTTCTGCAAGATCCAGGTCATAAACAATTTATTACAGTATGAAATGAGAGACCATCTCAAGTATAACAATATTAATATAATAGTTATTAAATATAATTTATATTAAATTATCCAAACATTTAATTAATTTTGATTTCTGGAACCTGACCTCACCATCTCAGGTAATCAAGATCCCTATATAACTAAAAATTTCAACCATGAGAAACTTTTCCTCTAGCCAAAATGTGGACTGCCTACCAGAAGCAGACTAATTAAATGTAGTTTATCTTCCTGCCTAGCCACTGTAGCAGGTGCTAATATGCTGAGAAATGATAAAAAGCATTACCTATAAAAAGAAAATAACAGATCTAAAGCATTCTGAATCAATAATTCAGCAGTACACTATTCACTCTCCTGCTTGTTCCCATGAAGACAGGGTTTGTGTCATTAGAGTCCAATACAAACACCTAGACCAATGTGACTCACACAGAAAGATGCACCACAAATATCTGTCTAAAAGTCATCCAGACAGGAGCTATATATACAATGACTCTGAAACAAAATGAGTTCTAGTCACCTTACAAATGTAAGATTTTTTTCCCTAACAGACTAAAATGAACAGGCTATAACCAATGACCACTTAAATTGATAAGAATTCTCTCCTGTAGGGTTTCCCTGGTGGTGCAGTGGTTGAGAGTCCGCCTGCCGATGCAGGGGACACGCGTTCGTGCCCCGGTCTGGGAAGATCCCACATGCCGCGGAGCGGCTGGGCCCGTGAGCCATGGCCCCTGAGCCTGCATGTCCGGAGCCTGTGCTCCACAACTGGAGAGGCCACAACAGGGAGAGGCCTGCATACCGCAAAAACAAAACAAAACAAAACTCTCCTGTAGAAAAGTAATTATGCTTACATATTTATCTATAATTTTGGAAGCCATCATTTCACATTAAAATTGAAATAATATCTTGAATTCTTATGTTCTAATTCCATTTCTCTTTTCTATGCTATCACTATTACGGGGCAATTTGAGAAGCCTAAAATAACATGCATTTCTATTACATATTTAATCTCTTAACACAATAAAAGAGACACTTGTAATTAGCTTCTCTAATAAGAGAACAGACTCATTAAAATTTTATCTGAATAAAAATCAGAGTTATTACTTACCAAGGTCTTTGATTCTTGGTAGTATATTGCATGTAAAATGTTTATAAGAAGCTATTTTTCCTTCATAGGAAGAAATTCCCACATGAGATTCATAAATTCGTAGACCTCTTGGCTTCTTTGGTTTGGAATGCTTAAACTACAGAATATTAAAATTACATATAGAATTAAGCCAAAAATGCAGGTATGACACTAACAGATTAAGCATGTTAAATGAAATGATGAATTAACTCAGTCAAACACTTTGAAACTACTTTCACGTATAAAAGGCACTGGCTGCCTCCATTAAACTTTCTTTTGAAAAAAAAGATCCTTTTTAGGATCATGGTAATAGACCTATTTGAAAAGAGTAGTCATGCGATGGCTTATGCCTTATCGCTGAGTGAAGATGTATTTTGAGCCTAAGCCTTACAGAAAACATAAGAACTGTGAAATACATACATAATTATTAAATGCAAAGCATTTATCAACAAGCTTTGATAACTTAAAGGACAGAAAAGTGAGCTCCAAGATACCTATAACTCTTATCAATAAGACAGGCTTAAAAAATTACCCTAATTAATACATTCACGAGATGTCTTGACTATTCGTTGTTCCTAAGGACACTGATCCTGCTTCAAGTCCATGACAGTGAGAAATATTACACCACTGGAGAGTCTTTGGTTAATCAGAAATTGTAGCTAAAATTTTCAAAAATCAGTATCCCTTATAGGTCAGTACATAGAGATTTAGTGTTCTTCCCCCGCCCACAACTTCAGAAACACACGATAAAACAAAAACTCACTTTTATATTTTATTGGCTACAGATGATGGACATATATATATATATATATATATATATATATAGCAAATGAGTACATTATGATGTAAAATATTAAACCAGTGGTGAAGAGAGAAGTTGAACATTACAATAAAAGTTATAAAAGTAAAAACTAATTCTCCTAGAAATATTGGAACATGCATTTATTTAAAGAGTTGTTCTCACTTTATATGGGTGTTCTGGATCCCAGTGTATCCAATCATAATTCACATTATCACTGTCACGAGTCACATACTTCGCCCACGGTGAAATACGATACAAGATCTCTCCACTTTTACTCCTAATAACAACCTAAAAAGAGAACAAGATATTATGGCCTTAAAATACTTTCAAAACTCTAAGATAACGCATGATACTCTATGAGCACTGTGACAAGTAAGAAAAGGAGGAATGATCTTAAGAACCGAAACTGCCTTCCAGATGTGTTACCTTAAGGATGTTTAAATTCTATGGACCTTGCTCTCCTCATCTGCCATGGTATATGATCCCTAAAGTCATTTCCAGCTTGAATATTTTATGATTCTCTGGCAATTTTCATCATTGCCAACCAACCATTATAGTAGTTAATTAAAGTAAGCATACAGTAGATAGGAAAAAGACATGAATATTATTGGAAGCTACCGTCAATAAATCAATCAACAGAAGGAACTGATCCTAGTATATTTTTTTAAAAAGTCATGAGTTATATCACCATCTCTTCCTTTTCCTTTTCATAGCAATTAATGATAACATGGGTTTTGACTAATAATTGTATTATAATACACACAAACACACACACTACCCTACAAATATTTTCCACTTCTCAATTTCTTCTACACCTTATTCCAAGTATGCTTTACCATATGAAACCAAACATTTTCCTTTTTAACCATTTGTTCCTATATTTGCCAATAGTATCACTATTGCTATCAGTATAAAAAATAACAATAAAAATGCAGGGCTTCCCTGGTGGCGCAGTGGTTGACAGTCCGCCTGCCGATGCAGGGGACATGGGTTCGTGCCCCGGTCCGGGAAGATCCCACATGCCGTGGAGCGGCTGGGCCCGTGAGCCATGGCCGCTGAGCCTGCGCATCCGGAGCCTGTGCTCCGCAGCGGGAGAGAGGCCACAACAGTGAAAGGCCCACGTACCGCAAAAAAAAAAAAAAAAAAAAAATGCAAAGGCAACTTTTACGGAATCCACCAGTTTAGACTTAGTACTGAATAGAGGGCTTTGAATTTATCAGCATGGTTAAACAGTGAACAGAGCTTCCAGGTATAGTTTTAAGTTTTTTTTTTAATTAATTAAACCTTCTAAGAGTAGGTAGAGTGTGACAAAAAATGTTCAGATCAGTAGCTGACCTGAATGCTGAATGATCAATATGCTCTCAGCGTTGAGAAAGAATATATTCTTTGGTCTCCTTTAATAGAGAAAAGCTCAAGTATGCATAATTCTTGGTCATTAAATATTTGTAGAATGTTTTATAGTTTAGAAAGGGCTTTCATAGTCATATCTCACTTGATTCCAGAGACTCTTTTTTGCTGTACGCGGGCCTCTCACTGCTGTGGCCTCTCGCGCTACGGAGCACAGGCTCCGGACGCGCAGGCTCAGCGGCCATGGCTCACGGGCCCAGCCGCTCCGCGGCACGTGGGATCTTCCCGGACCGGGGCACGAACGCGTGTCCCCTGCATCGGCAGGCGGACTCTCAACCACTGCGCCACCAGGGAAGCCCCCAGAGAATCTTTATAACCCAAATATTAAGTGAGTAGCCAGAAGTCCCAAAGTCACCAACTGGCAGAACCAAAAGCTAAGCAGAGCTTCTGATACTCACTTCCTTTTTCTTAACAGGCTTTAATGGCACTTCCTTCATATACAGAAAAAGAATAAATCATGATTTAAGGAGGAGGGGACAGGTGACTGGTGAAAAGGAACATCTAACTTACATGAGCTCAATTCTATCTCCTTAGCTGTGCCTCCCACTTATTAAAGCCCATCACAACTAAGTGTTTCTATTATTCAAATAGTAATCACAAAACATGAATGAATAGGATCAACCCAGTCCCAGAGTATTTTATTCCCCAAAATATGTCCCTTAAGTCACATAACTTTCTAGTATAATACACACAGTGATATATTTGAGAAAAGGCTTTTTATTCACTCATCAACCCAGGACAGGTAATGGGGAAATAAAATACCAGAAATCAGTTTTCAATGGATAGCACCCTGCCTAATCCATCCACCTATCTTTTCTCTTTTTTGCAAATGGCTCTACAACCCCTCCAAAGGATGATCATGAACCAATAAGTATTTTTCAAGGTGTCTGCTGGCAGAGAGAATATTTGAAACTTTAAGCAAAGAACATGAAGAATTTCCTTATGCTGAATATAATTTCCACATTCTTTGGAACATTAACTTATTTATCTTGCTGTACACATGAATGTCTTCAGAGGGTACTGAGTGATGGAAGTTGGAAGGAACAGTCCTTCTATGGGTCTTTCTCACTCCTACATGTTTTGCTGGGTACAGCAAGAATATAAGGTCCTATTGATGACAGAGGCCATTTCTCAGAGTTGTGTTTGTAGCAAGCAACCCTGAGGAATGAGATAATGTCTCCCTTGAAGACAATGGACAGCTTTCCTTACTGCATGCTATAAAAGAAATCATTCCCCAAGGTAAATACTCCTCACCTATGAGGCAAACTAGCTGTGTGCATAGCATCCATCTAGACCCTATAGTGTCACCCCTATAAGACTTAGAAAGCAAGGGGAACTAATGCAAGTATGATGCACATCCTGTGCCATGAGTAATAAAGTCATTTATCTCTGACTCAGGAGTCCTGTGTTTTCTGCCAGAATCCATGAAACAGTAACAGGTTAACTTATGAGCTTGAAGGTACGGCAAAATCAAATCCTACACCTGACAATGGATGACTTACTCATTTTGAATGACTTCAATATTTTTGTTACCAAAAGTTCTATTTCTTCATTTCTATTAGTGTTTTATATTAGACATTTTTGTTCATCATTTTTATTAATTTTGCTTCTTGGGGTGGAAACTTTTAATTATCTAATTCCTTCCTTTTTTCTTAGCAATAAAATCAGAGCCTGGATCCTTAAATGATACGTAAAACAAATCTTCCCACCACATCTAGAACACTTCACTGTAATCATTACATAAACGGTAAATTCACTTCTCTATTCTTTAGGCTCCTGAATTTTGGATGTATTTTTGCTATAGCAGTTTAGATTTTACTAGTAAACACACTTGCCAACAGTACCCACCTTACCTCACCTTTGATTTACTGTTCCTAAGTTGCTGTGATAACAAATAAGAGTATTATAGTAAATCTAAATAACCCAAACTTGAGAGACCTTCCAATGAGTAAAAAATATAACCTTCTGGACTAAATTTTGCTCCTGAAGCGTTTTAGGGGGGAGAAAGGGGAGAGATGAGTGTACTTACTGAGTTTGTGCTCTCTTGAGTTCAGATTCAGATTTTTTAGATAAAACTTTATATCATTTAATTTACAACCTCAAAATAGAACATGTTATATAGCAAATTGAAAAGAAAGCTCTAGCTTGATTGATCTTTCAATGATAGTAAGTCTAATAGCTGATGGGTAGAAGAATTCACTTGGTACTAGCAAACTGAAAGTCTCAAACACTACTAGTATGAGTATAAAATAGTATGAACATTCTAAATAGCAATTTGGCAATAGGATCAAAAATTCAAAAAAAAGTAATTCTCAATGACTCAGCAATTCTAATTATAGATGTTTGCCCTGTAGAAATAATCAGAGAAGTGCCCAAAGAACTATATTCTTATCTATTAATCTTAGTGTTACTTTTATTAGCAAAAAGTGAATGACTGAATAGTGTATGCTTGTTAAAAATTATACCACTGAATTATATTGAAGGTTGCAAGAAAATTCTTTCAAGTTATAAAAAAGAATGTACTGCATCTTCCTAATGTACATATATACAAATGGTTGCCTATGGATAGAGAAATTATTAATAGCTTTTATTTTCCAGTTGTATCTTTCTATATTGTTATCAATTCATTTCACTTGTAGAGCTTCTATAAATCAGAAAAAAATAAGTATTCTGATAAGGATTGCAAATAGATGAATTATACAATTGTGTACATATTTGTGGACCTGTGCTACCAAGTTCCATATATATGTGTGTATATACATACACTTTAAATATATTGACACAGTGTTAAACATAAAACTTTAAAAAGTATATTAGGGAATTCCCTGGTGGTCCAGTGGTTAGGACTCCATGCTTTCACTGCTGAAGGCTCAGGTTCAATACCTGGTCAGGGAACTCAGATCCCACAAGTCGTGCGGCCAAAAAAAAAAAAAGTATATTAATATTACCACATATCACTCCAATAAAAAATATATATATAATCACTTTAAAGAAATATACTAATGAAAATAATATCATGACGAACTTTTGTAGGGCAAATTGATAATTTGTGTAATTATAACATTTTATAACATGGTAAAAATGTCATTAGGCTCCTTTTCTAATGAGCCAAATTATCTCTTTGACTTATGGGAGGTTAACATCAAAAGACATTATTAAATTAAATAAAGAAGTGAATAAAATAAACCTCTACCTGTGCAAAAGTCAAATTGACTTAGTGAACTGTATGAAGTCAAATTTTATTTAGAAAATGACATTTAAAACTCAAATATACAATATAAGAAACAGTTTGGTAAAACAGTGAAGACCTAAAAACTTGTGTTTGTGTGTGTATATTCATTCAATCTAGGAATATCTTTTGAAATGGTTCTTGTCAAAGACTATTGTTCCTTTGGACCAAAAAATCACTGAGATAAGATGCTCCTCAGGTGGCCAACAATTTTATATGAAAACAGTGGATGTGTTCAGCTGGTTAGAAGTGGTAGGATACTCTGGAAAATGGTATTGCATGTAACTCTGGGTTTCAAGACTGAACGTGTAGAAGACGAAGAGAAAAGGCACAGATATTGAAAAATATAATTTGATTTGCCCAGATTATACTACCAAAATCACAACAACATGCTATGAAGGAAAAAAATTATTAATAAAGATAACTATTTAGTAGGGTACAGGTCAAAATAAATAAGCAATAAAAGTGATTTCTAATTTATGAAGCAATGTTATATCCTCCTCTTTTAAATTACCTCTAATTTATATAATAATATCTAACGTAATTGATACTATATGTAATATGTATATAATATGTAAAATATATAATTGATATTATATACATATTTTTTAAACAATGGGTACAGTCATACCAACATGCAACGCTAAATATG